GAAAATTTTATAAAAATTATAAAAACAGGTATGTTAATAAAAAATATCTCAAAATCTGAGTATTGATAGCTTACAAGTTTCATTCGCTTACCTTAAATCATCTAAAATTTATTAATTGTTAATCGATTTGTTCAAATTCTACAAAAATCGTATACCTTATATAAAGTTCATCTTTTTGTTTTGAATTTTGTTAATATTTCAAAGTATATTCAAATCTAAAAATTCTAATTTCATTATAATGAATGAAAGTAACTTAGCTATAAAAACTTTGCAGCAAGAAGTAATCGAAACTGAACTTAATGACAGCAATATTAGAATGCAAGAAATCATAAATACACTCATTAATCATACCCAAGCCTCTTCTAATACACAATCATTATACGTTTTTGAAGAAAAAGATGATTTTATTAAATTTGCATTACCTCTTCTTGCCTATCATAATTGGATAAAGGAAGATGAAAAGTCTAAAAACATTAATTTATAAGAAAACATGGAACTTATGTAAATAAAAATGAAAAAGGTTCTTGGTCAGAATACTATTGTTGCTCACGTGCAGGTAGTAAACGTATATGAAATGACCATGTAGAAGGAGGAAATTCAAACAAAAAATGACAAATTCAAAAAGAATCCAAAAAAGTTGGTTGTGATTGTACCTTACGAGCTCATTACAATCCGATCAATTTTCCTGAAATAGTTGTAATACATTACTGGTATAAGCATAATGGGCATGAGCCTGGTAGTCGTGCTGATGTTCAATATTTGAGAATATAAAATCGATTTTTAGCTTCGTAATTAATTTGTTCTAAAAAACAAAATTTATATAAAAACTATACATTAAATTTAATTCTTTCATTAATTTTAACTACATACCTTTTTTTTAGATTATCCATATAGACTCTACACACAATACAAATCGCTATAAATATGCATTGTTTACAATCTTGATACGTCATCCCTATAGTGGCCGTGGCATTCCATTAGCATGGCTACTAACAGAATCTAGTGATAGCATATCAATTGGGGCATGACTTCGTGCATTAAAATTAGAGGGATGGATGGATCCAGTGAATGTAATATTAGACAACAATGATGCAGAAATAAATGCCATTCATGAGGTTTTTTCCACATCAAATGTTTTTTTGTGCTGGTGGCACATTAAATGTGCTTGGCTCTGGTGGATCACTAAAAAAATAGAAAAAGATAAACATAATAATTTGTATCATGATCTCGAACAGCTACTCCATACTAAAGATATAGACAGAGTAAATTCTGTTCTAGTTCAGTTTGAACAAAGATGACAAAACACCCCCGCATTGCAGTATTTTAATTCTCAATATAAAAGCAAAAAAGGTTTTTATTTATTTATTTTTTTTATTACATTACAATTTGTTATCAAATATTTTATAATCTATAATGGTATAATATAATAAATTAGAAATGTGGATGGAATGCTATTGTTATGACAAAGTTCGGGGAATTAATACAAATAATTATATAGAGGCTTACCACAAAAAAATCAAATATATCTACCTTATGACACGTGTTAACCAAAGAATTGATTATCTTATTCATAAATTAACCCTGAAAATATTGCCTGATTACCAAGAAGAAATTATTCAATATGAAATGGGAATTGGGCGAATGAGTCCTCACCAAAAAATTATATGGAAATTTGAAATAAATTCGATTAGTATTGATGAAAATTCTATTTTTCGTTTAGATGAATCTACATTTATTATTAGGTCAACCGAAGGTGAAGGTGATTACACAATTCAAAAAACCGGAGATAGTGAATTAATCCTGATCTGCAATTGCGAAGCATATTTAAGAAATCCAGCACCTTGTAAGCATATTTTTGCAGTTTCCCGAAAATATAACATTAAAATGCCAGAGCAAACAACTTACTTACTTCCCGATGACAATGATATTCAAACTTATAAGGAGCGGACTAATAATAATATTATCATTAATGACATGGAAAAACAGATAAATGAAATAAATTGTCATATAGATCAATGGGTAGTGCGAATAGGAAATCTTCTTCAAAAAATCGACTTAAATAATGTACCTTTAGAAAAAAAAAGAGAGATTGTTATTAAATTAGAAGAAGTATATGATATCTTTTTTAAGGCACTATAATTTCTTAACAGTTAATACATAATAGTAAAAAGATATCTTTTAAAAAAAAAAACAGTAAAACTACCTTTTTTCTTCCTTTTTTTTTTTTTGTTGAAATTGTCTATTTTTTTTTTTTTTTAGTTGTAACTAAGCCCCGGATAAAGTATTGTACCATAAAACTCTAAAGTTTGCATAAATAAATCTTTTGTACGTACGTACGTACTGTACATACGTACCTACACATCGAAGATAACAATAACGATAAAGAAGCAAGGTTTTATATT